GTGGTAAGAAACTGCACTGCAAATCCAAAGGCACATGGTTTGAATCCACTAGCTACTCCTTGGGAGAAGGATGGAAAATCTCTTCTGTGATTAAACTCCCTCTGAAAACCCACTGAAGGATCAGCTCTGGGTTGGTTATGATTCAACAGTACTCAACAACGAGACCTTTACAAAACTCTAAAGAGGACTGACGTAGGGGTTGGGGAGACTGAGAAAGAGGGGATAAATTATACTGCATTGAAACAGATGAGGGAGAGAACTGTTTAAAAGGGATATGTGATTAGGTATTATTGTCATGACAGGAGTCTGGAACGAAGGCTGCATAGTGAAGTGGACTTAGGGGGAGGGATTGTATAAGGATGAATTAATTTTTCTTTTACTTTTCAAAGAGAAGAGCGAATTGTGGGGGAAGGGGTGGGCAGGGAGAAAAGTATAACAATGAATGAATGGAAATCCAAAGTCTCTGTAAACTTTCATTAAAATTAATTTAAAAGCAAGAAGAAAAAAATTGACACAATGACTATAATAATGGACTTGAGCATATCAGAATCATGAAGATGGCACAGCGTAGAGTGAGATTCACATCTGTTTTTCATAGAGTTGCTGTGAGTCATAGTTGACTCAGCAGCACCTAACAACAATAACAGCAAAATAGCACTGGACAACAGCGCACTTAACTCTAGAAATACATACAGTATGTGAAAACACATGTAGTATAAAGTAGGATAATCTGAACAGTTTTAACTGAACAAGATCTACAACAAAATACTAATATTAAAAAAAATACATATTTCTATTTAACCATGTGTTTGAATTTTCCCCCCAAATATGTAACCAAGTAATATATGAAATTAAATATTTACCCATTATCTTTTTGGGTGCTTATTAGGAACCAAAGATAAAAGAGAGAAAAATAACTATAATTTTTGGTCACCAAGAAAGAGTCTTCATTTTAATATGTACATATTTGTATTCAAGCTGTCAATACAGTTTCCTGAAGCATCAGAAATGACATGAAAGAATTAAACCCCACTCTATTTCTCCAAACCAGCATACATCCTCCCATAGGAGGAAGATGTGGTAGACCAAATTAAATGCCACCTAAAAGATATCTACATCAAATCACTTGTGTACCACTGAATTGGATCCAACTTACAGTTAACCCTCTAGTGGGGTTCCAGAAGCAGTAAACTGCAGAGGACATTGTATTTCTCTGGTGGAAAAGTTGGGGGAGTTTGATGGATGTACCTTTGGGTTGGCAGTGCCATCCCTTTCTGCTCGACCCCCAGGGCTCACTAATGATGCCCCTGTTATAGTTGTATACCATAGCGTCAGAACTGACCCATAGCTGACCCTCCGTCGGGTTTTCAGAGGCAGTAAATCACGTGGGAGGAGATTTCCCATTCTTTTCTCGTGCTGGATTTGAACTGCATGCCTTTGTGATTGCAGTGCAGCTTCTACCAATAGGCCACTAGAGGTCCCTTATCATATCCCTAGAACCTGTGAATGATAATTTATTTGTGAAGATTTATGAAATGATCTTGAGATCATGCCTGGGTCATTCAGGTGGACCCTAAATTCAGTGATGACTGTGTGAAAATACAAAGTAGAGTGATGAAATCACAAACCAAAATTTTTCTTTTAGTGTAGTGCTTCATCATGAACTAATTTGATAATTTTTAGAGAGGCTTTTTAAATTGTTTGTGGTCCACCCCCCCCCCCCCCCCCCCCCAGGAAATAGCAACCGGTGTTCTACTGAGGTGGTCTGGCAGTGGTGTATGTGAAATATTGGAGACAAATTTTTTTGGTGACAGGTGTTTTGGTACAATAACAGAAACCCCAACTTACTCAGGGTTAAAAGAAATAATTGAGAACCCTTTCTCCATCCTTTATCATCCTCGGATCCTTTGGTTAGGATCACTTTTTTACTGTCTTCCCTAGAAGACAGGAAGAAACAAGCAAACAAAAAAATCAAAACAGAGTCTGATTTACTTGACACATGTGTAGAATGCCTGTCTTAATTTCAAGTTAAAAATTTTATTTTTTCAGAGAGCTAGGAAACGACACTTTGGTAGGTTTTTAAGGAAATGCTCTAGCATAATGTTAAAAAGAGTCTTTCAATCATGTAGATTAATTGTTTTCCAGCTTTTTGTCTCATCAGGAGTGAAAGAGTCAAAAAGAGAAAGATAAGCTAAAAGGCCCAGGTCTGGTCTATATACATGTCAATTTAGGGAACATTTTTACTGTACTGTTTGGTCTGTTTCTGCCTACTGGACTTAAACTTTTCTATGTTTCTTTCTTATGGTTTCAAAGTATGTAGCCAGGTCTTCTTGCTCTTTATGGTAATAGTTTCCTCCACTATGGCCAATAAAAAGTGTCATTCATAAACATCAGATCTAATTTCCTTTTTAAAAAGTGTGTAGTAGTACCTTTTATAGTATCTGGCAACATCATTATAGACAAAATATTGACGTTGTCACTTATTTCATCTTACTTGGATACACCATCAACAACCACCCTTATGTGAAGAAATTAAAAAAAAAAAAGTTCCATTGGGAAAGTCTGCTTTCGAAGACCTCTCCAGTATATTAACGAGTATCAGTGTCAGTTTAAAGACTCAGGTGCACCAGATTCAAGCAGTGATGTTTTTGATTACTTGCTGTGCGTTTGAAAGTTGAACAATGACTAAGGATGACAGAAGAAAAACTGATACCTTTGCATTGTGGAGTTGAACAAGAGTATTGAACATATCATGGACTGCCCAGAAAACAGTTTACCTAGAGAAGGTAAAACCAGGTTGCTCCTTGAAAGACAAGGATGGTGAAACTGTCTCACATACTATGGTTATGTTGTCAGGAAGGACTAGTCCTTGGAGAACATCATCACTCATGGAAAGGCAGGTCAGCTCAAGAGACGAAGGCCCTTTATGAGATGGATTGACAAAGTTACTGTAACAGTGAGCTCAGTGTCAGAGTGTGTTGGAGATGGTGAGGTTGGCTCAGGATAAGGCAAGGTTCAGAGCCATTGTCCATAGAGTCACTATGCTTTGTCATTAACTCAGCAGCTCTTAACAACTTGGTATCTAGCAGATAATTGACTTTTAGGTATTATTTTAATATTAGTGTTCATAGTTCATCTATTACCTTCAACGTGGATTAGTCTGCAACCTGAGAGACCCTTGGATAGCCTCCACCTGTGCCTTACCTCAAGTTACCCTGTCTTCATCCTGTATCCTCCATTGCTGGACAGAGCTCTTGAAGATAGATGAGGTGTTCTACAGCCATTGTTCCTCATGGGAGCCAGTTGTCACTGAACTCTCCAGGATATTGCTCTGGGTGGCCCATGCAGAATATGTCATCTCACTTGTGGCAAAATATAGTAGCCCCAGTCTATCAGAGGCTAATCCTAGACAATAGGAGAATTTTCTCAAAGTTGTAAATGTCAGAATGTTAGATAACAAGAAAATCATTAAGGAGTAAGTGTAATGTTAGTAGCAGCTGAGAAAATAAATATTGGGAAAAGATCTTTCTTCAAATGTGTAATTTTGAATATTTTCTTTTCTAGATTGTTGGCCCTTCAGACGGAAGTAGTTATATTATAGATTACTATGGAACCAGACTTACAAGATTGAGTATTACTAATGAAACATTTAGAAAAACACAATTCTATCCATAAATATTTTTTATGAAAATAAGCAGTAAGTGATATTTACTTTTAATCTTAATTGCTGTGTATTATTTTACATAAAATTTTGATAATTGATAAACTAGCTGAAACCTTTCATTTTGACAGGAAACTGAGGTATTCATATGCTTAAAAAACCATTCTAATCCTTTGAAAAGCATTTTTGCTTTTAATGTAATCTTTAGATCCTTTAAAGAGTGTTTGTTTTTAATTTAATCTTTATTATGATTTTAATGGTTTACAAAGCAGTTAGTTTACTTACAATGTAATTACACTTTTTCTGCTTCTTCCCAGTAATTTTTATTTCCATTCATCCATCTTTGCCCTTCTGCGTCCTCCTTTTCTTTAGTGATACCATGCTGATCAACCCTTATTGAATATTGTATTTCTCTCACAAACCACTGAAAAGTGTTTTTGTATGTGTGTGTCTGGTACCTCTTAATTCCAACACCAATTCTCTTTGCAGTAAATATGTTTATAGAAAAAGTTCATTTAAAAAACCCCAAAACACCAAACACAAAAAAATTATTACATAGTATTGTGATGATTATAATAAAAGTTTGAATTATAGATAGTTCAGTATAGCAGATCTTTTCTGCAGTTTTTCTCTGTTAACGAGTTAATGTTAATTAGATTTAATGTTAATTAGGCTGGAGAAGTCAGGATACCAATCAGTCTTCCTAGTACAACAGCCTGATTTCTCTAGGACATTGCTACCACTGTAAAACCTGAGAAAGCTGCAACCTGCATAGGACAGAAATCTGTCAGAGAAGGGAAATGTTAATATTTTCCACTAGGGTGAATGATGGGAAAGTATTAAGAACTCACTAAAAAAAAAAAAAAGGAACTCACTCTTACCATAATAGCTTGTGAGACCCAGAACAAGCCAGTGCACTTGAGTTCTGGTTCTCACAGGTTTTACTGTACAAGTCAGAATTTTGGTAAGCTGTCTGGAAAATGGTTTCCTAATGTAATTTTTGGAGAGACGCATGTTTATTGATATTGAATGCAGGATGCTTCCTAGGTAAAAATTTTGGGAAAGAAAATGAGATAGATGTCTTCATCATTATCATGTTGTCCATTAAGATGAATTCAACTTACTGCAACCCTCCTTGATTCCTGTTTTGTGAGAAGAGGGTGCTGGTGATACAGAGATTAAACACTGGACTACTAACCAAAGGTCAATATTTCAAACCAGTCATTCCTCAGGAGAAAGATGTGGTAGTCTGCTTCTGTAAAGATTATGGCCTTGAAACTTCTGTCTAGTTCTAGTCTGCCTTTGGCATCATTTTAAGTTGTCCAGAAATGTGTTTAGTTGTTTACTTTGTGAGAAGAGTTTCACTCAACCTTATTATCTGTCCATCTGGTAAATTGTGTCACCTTCAAGACACAAGAATCTCTATAGATTGTTTTTAAACCATAATTTGTAAATATTAAGCAAATACAATATTAAAGCAATTCTGTTTCCTATAGCCTATTATACAAACATTTCAATTTACTCAAATTTGAATTTTAAAACTTGAAGTACCATTGAGAAGGGCAATATCTGCATTGTCATTCACACACTTTCTTTGCAGTAGTTAGAAGTGCTCTAAGTATAAGAAGAGCAATGTACAGAATAAGTAAATTGTAAAAATGTGCATCAGCCTTTAATCTCTTAAAATACTGTGTTTTAACCTATCTTTTTTTCTGTTGTAGGATTTGACCCTCCTTGATTTTAATGGAGAACTCCTTCTCAGTGTATGAATTTTCCAGTTCATCTTTGTTTCTTCACATGTCACTTTATGTGTTCTGTGAAGTTTTTTGTTATTGATCATATTATCATGTTTTAGTTTAAAACATTATTCTGACATTTATTTAATAGAACTTTCTTTGAGAGCCAGATGATAATAGAGGTTTCTTTAAGGCGACTATCTCTGTGAGATAGCTAGCATAATTACTGTAGTATTCTTTAATGTCTTTGCCAGAGACAAGTCATCATTGGTCGTTTTTACTTGTGAAAAATAAAATTATGACTTACATTTTTACTGCTTTATAATTACAAATACATTAATAAATGTTGACTGCAATTGTCTTTTGCATTTTGACCCTCTAAAGCAATCAATTCACGATGTGAACAAATTAACCTTTCCTGATTGCCTGGAGCTGTGGTCCTTGGTATGACAGCCCACCCATTTTTCTGTTGCATTTAGATCTAGGTGTAGCAAGAGCTAAAGATCATGAGAGAGCCTGGAAAACCTGAAGGCAGCTTGGAATCTTCTGGCATTGATTCAAACCTGTGAAGGGGGAACCTTTTCCTTTTATTACTCTGAGAGTGATGCACTAGCTTTTGGAAGACCGGATGCTGACTCATCTAGTGCAGTGCAGTTATATTTGAAATGGGATGGACAAGGTGGAAACACCAAACAGATGATTAATGGCTTCCATCTGTTAGCACTGCCGGGCAGATGCTGGCACCAGTGTCGTAAATGATGCACCCATCTCTGCAGGAGGCAGCGCCTATACAGTAGCTTCTGCTTTTTCTCACCATGATTTGGGATTTATGAAGATGGAAATCCATGACATGTTATGTTCACATAATGCTGTCATGCTCTGCATTAGGAATAGCCATACCAATTTCAGAATTATTAAGGTCTGAACCCCTCAAGGCTAAAACTTTAATTTTTATCACCTATTTTACTCAAGTTCATACATTATCATACAGTAGCTTCATATTTTCTTAGTTGCTCAGTAATAGCTCTAGTTTCTTGGAGAGTACCTATAAATATATGCAGTGAGTTTGGGTTGGCGCCTACTGTACACTAGGAACCATTTCTTGCTTCATTAATTCATTAAAGTATTTATTGAGTATCTATCATGTGTAAGGCATTACTGTAGTTGCTGGGGATGCTGCAGAGAATAATGCAGAAGTTCTTGCCCTTGAGAGTATATTCTCATGGGTTCTTTTTCCACAATGAGAATATTTTTTTGGCCACAGTTAATCTAATTATTAGAGGCCTGCTTTCTAGCATCCATGGTTCCTTGTGATTGCAGGTTGAGCTTTGATATTTACTTTAGGATCACCTAAACCCAGACTTCAAAAGGTGTTAAGTTTTGGCAAGGAGCGGCAGCTACAATCCCAGAGGCACACGGTTTGAATCCACCAGATGCTCTGCCAGGAAAAGGAGGGACAACCTCCTCCTCTACCAGTCAGATCTGATTTGACGGTATACTCACACAAAAATAAAAAAATTTTAAAAAAAAAGGTGTTAAGTTTCTAATCATATAAATTTGATACTCTCTTTCAAAATACATGGTGCATACAAGTACCACTTAGATTTTTCCTCTCTGATATTTTTTGAGGAATTTCCCCCCCCCTTCCATATATATAATACATGCTAGTATCAGGACCAGACGTGTGTAATTATAGAAAGCAGAAAGGACTTTGCCCATGCCATCCTGCTGGGTTGAGAGATTATTGTATCAGATGATGCATCCTACAAGACTCATTGTGTAAAACTTTTGTCTTTGAATTTCTGTATAGACAGGTAAGGCTTGTAAGTGTGCTTGCTTTTCTCCTGTTATTATTGGGAGGGTACAGTGTTTGAGGTTAAATAATATTAAAGATATTTTCCATGCTTTATCCCACCTCCTCTACTATCAAAGCCTGTTAGGATATATGTGTTGCATGTTATTAGAATTATTTCTAGCAAATATTTTAAAAAACACATGATATAGCCTACTTTCTTTTAGCCAAAAGACAAACAAAAAACCTTACTAAAAAATCTTGCAAACAAAAAGTAATTTGAGGACTGTAAGTAATGAAAGGACTAGATTAGAAATAATTTGTAATCAAATCTTAGAAAGTAATTTAGATTCTTGCATTTTTACAGCACTAACTTAGCAAAGAGAGAAGTGTGTTTCAAAACAGTGCTCCTTAAACTACTCACTCAAATGAGTTGTACTTTAGAAAACTATAGATAACATTTAGAATAAAATCTCTATACAATAACTTTAGAGTTTTATTGTTGTTGCCTTTGAGTCAAGCGTGACTCATAGCAACCCTATGTACAAAAGGCCTGAAGCCTTTGTATAACTGTCAACATTTATCAGAGTTAATAGCGTTTTAAGAGGTATATTTAGGAAGTGAATGCCACTCCTGCTTCCAGTAGAGTTTCATTATAAATTCCTAAATTTACATGTAAAACCACCCTTTTGTTTTTCCTAATTCTCTGTTGCATATCACATATCATAGTGAAGGCTGGTGGTATAGTCCACGATGAGCTGCACATTTCAGCAGTTCAAATTCAGCAGCAGCTTTAGGGGAGAAAGATGGACAGCCTCCTCCCATCTCTGTTCACAGACTTGCAGGATCACAATAGTTTGGAAAATTCTTAACAGCAGAGAGTTTATTTAATAATAAACCCATATGTATTCAAATTTTGCTTGAGTTTGTAAATTTCTCCTCTTTCATGATGTACTGTTTCATGATTACTCTTTTATTAGTAATTTATGTGAGATTCCAAGTCATTGGTGTCAGATTTTTGTTTTAAATGATTGTCCTACTCTAAGATAAGGACCAGAACTGTAAAATGCATTAACCCAGTCATTTATTTGGTTACTCCTAATCTCTTTCTGGATAGAAGGGAATATTCATTTCTATATAAGTACTCTGAAACATTTAACAATGGACTTAACTTCAGCATGAAAGGATGAATGCAATTTCAGAAGTACTAGGCGCATTGCCATGGGAAAGTATGCTGTTAGGGACTTCTCCAAAGTACTGAAGAGCAATGGTGTCTCTCTGGAGAC